GTAGAGACTAACGGTGAAAATGCATGGTGGCAGGTATCTGCCCAGGTCTCCCCAGAAGGCCCTGCCCAGTCTCTGGGATTAGAGGGGGTGGATCTCCTGGCCATGAAAACAGAGCACGTTGGAAAATCTGAATGCGCCAAAGCGTCACGTGGTCAACCATCCATCCTTTGGATCAGAGACAGCGGCCAAGAGCTGGCCGGAGCAGCTGAAGAATGAGCCAGCAAGGGAGCTTCAGGCACTGACACCGGGAGGGGGAGAGGGGAGTGAGGAGAGAAACCCCCCCCCACACACACACACACACTGCTGTCGGTCCATCCTGACACCCCTGGAGCTGTCCGGGCTCCATCAGGAATCCACTAGGGCTTTGCTCCTAACAGACCCACACCCTCGCCGGATGCAGCTGCTGGAAATAAAAATTCCGGAAGAATCCGCCACAAGACAATGCTTCGGTTCAACTCAAAAATTAAACCCATTTAACCTTTCCCTCTGTCTGAATCCCGAGCTGCTCAGTATGCAGGTGCTGCCCGTGAACCGGCACCGGGGAGCCTACCTAATTACTGACACGACTGTCGGGCGCGCCCGCGAGCACCCCAGGTCTGCTCGCGAGCTGCCACTCAGCGACACCGGCATTTTCACAGACCCCCGCTGCACCCAGCCCTCGTCACGCAGCTGAAGTATCACAGTGCTACTGGGAGGCAGGTCAAAGGTCAGACAACACCGAGCTCTAGAGCCCACGGCAAGGGATAGGAACCCTGCACTTCCGGCTCTGGCTCCCAGACGGCTGCCCTTCGCCAGCGGGAGGACAGCTTGGCAACACAGACTGACAAGGGTCCGACCTGGGCTTGAGCTGCCTCCCCGTGTCCACCCCCCCTGTCCACCCCCACCCCTGTCCACAGCGGGGTGTAGCCCTCCGATCAGCAGGAAACTCAGCGAGTTAGAAAGTACCTGCTCCTGGGGCCCAGCTCACACAGGAGTGGAAAGCCTCATCTTCGTCCCTGGAAGCGGCTGGCGGTTTCAAACTGTGGACCTTGTGGTTAGCAGCCTAGTGCTGGGTATCCACTACGCCACCAGATCTTCAAGACTGCAGAACTCAACCTCACTGCCCCCGCGTGAAGGCCAGCTTACAGCCACCCTCCAGCACAGGCGGCCTGTGGGGCTTCCCGAGACTTACGGGGGAGAGGAAGCACTCTCTCTCTCTCACAGGTCAGCTGGTGGGTTCGTACCGCTGACCTTTGGGGTTAGGAGCACACCGCGTAACCCACTGCGCCACCAGGCCCCCCGCTCAAAGCCCACTGCCATCGAGTCAGTGCTGACTCAGCGCGACGCCCTGTGGGTTTCTGAGACTGTCACTCTAACAGGATAGAAAGCCCAGCCTTTCTCCCGCGGACATGCTGCCGCCAGTGGTTTTGAACTGCTGACCAGGAGGACCCTAACACACCAAGCTACCAGGGTTCCACCCCACAGCTTATTCCAAACACAAAGTGTAGAGAGCTGCCATGCAGGGGTGGCAAGGGTGCTGGGCTTCAGCCATGGGTCTGCTGTGTCTCATTGCCCAATGGCCTCTCTCGGGTCCCCGGTCGCTCACACCCCTCTGGCTCCAACCCCTCCCCCCACTTCCCTCCAAATGACGGGACCCTTCACCATCTGAAAGCCCTGCACTCACAGCGTGGCTTGCGCGTGAACGCGGCAGTCTGTAGCTGTCACTCAGCTGTCTTTCATTCCCCCCCGCGAGCGAGGGTGCTGGCAGGCCCGCGCGGAGGACGTCTGCGAGGACGCACAGACGGACACGCCTAGGGTGCCACTTCTGTCTCCTTGCCGGCGGCAACACAAAGACATTCACGCTGGGTTCTCTTCCTCCCTCACTTGCTCTGGGGCCCGGGGACGTGGGACCTGAAGGATCCGGCTCTCAAGCCACCCAGCCCGGCCCCAGGTCTGGACACAGTAGATGCCGCACTCTCACACGTGGTTTTCGCACGTGGACTTCCACAGCCAGCAGAGCCATTCCCGAGGAGAGAGAGACATGGATGCAGCAGCATCCCCGTGCACACGCGTACATTAACCTTAAACAAATCATGCACAAATTTCAACCAGCAGTGTGGGGGGATAACAAACGGAGACTGCATTACAAATGCACTGAGCTTTATCTGGCATCGAGTGGCCTGAAATCCAAAAATAAACTCATTTATTTTGCCCCATCTACAGAAGAAAGACACAAAACCACACGGTGAATGCATTAGACCAAACACCAAACCCACTGCTGTCAAGATCGCAACTTGCCGTGACCGTGGAGGGCGGAGCAGCACGGCTCGCTCCCCCATTTTCCCAGGCTGCACCTTTCTGTGAGCACAGACTGCCTCATCTTTTCCCTGCAGAGTGGACGGTGGGTTTGAACTGCCCACTTTGCAGTTCAAAGCCTCATGGCTGAACCACGTGCTGAAGCACCCGGGGTCCTGACCCCGTCAATCTGCGTAGAAAAATCTCATTGGCATCCATCCTCACTCCCGGCCCACCAAGAAGAGAAAAGGAGGCTTTCAATATGATCAAAGGATGTTTGGGAAGCGAGGGGCGCCTTCTACTATGTCTCGGGGAAAGCGTCAACTTCCGATCAAGATGTGGGGAGGGGGCCTGGTACCTATGGCCAGCATGTTTATTCAGCAACCAACTGGAGGGTCTAGGGCCTTGCCACAAGGGACGGAAAGAAAGAACGAACACCGGAATGGAAGCGGAAGAAGTAAAACGTCTTTTTACACAGACTCAGGGTTTTCAACGCAGAAAATCCTAAGGAGGCGGCAGAAGTCCCCAGTATGTCCCTCCCCAGGACAACTGAGGAAAGGCCTCCCGTTACAGGGAGTACGACCCACACACAGAAGGATGAAACAGAAAGCTGATCCCGAATTACCATCCAAACCACAATGGGATCCAGGACACTTTACAAAATGCAACGTTTCTATGGCAGGAGCTGAGAAAAAGTAGAGCCCTAACTAACCACAGAGAAGACCGCAGATCAGAGACTCCAGATTAAAAAGATGCCACCCTTCCACAACGTGATGCGTCAGTTCCATGAACTCCCAATCAAAACCCCAACAAGATTATACTTCCCCCAGGCGACACCTTGCCTCTCAACGTCACAGGGACAGCCAGGTCTGTACGGGGTTCCCACACACCTTAGGCTCATCAACCATCCGAGGTGCCCAGGGCAGCATTCACCCAAGGGCTAGTGGGGGAGGAGGATGGAAACAGGACACACAGGGAGGACAGGGCTACGTCACGGATCCCTGTGAGGACGGCCAGGGACAGGACGAAACAAACAGAGAAGGACCAATGATTGAAGGTGGAAGGGGCGATCTGGTCTGTACGTCTTCACGCCAGCCAACAAAAAAGTTAAAAATAAATAAATATGCAAAATATAAATAGATAGATAAAAGGAACACACAAAGTCAAGAGACCTAAGAGCTAATGCCATCTCAAAGCACAACACTGGAGGACTGGCCCACTGGTTAATCTCAAGGCTTCTCACCAAGCTCCACAGCAGAGTCTGTGTGGTGCTGACCTTCAATGGACAAAAAGGCCCAGTGGCCACAGCAGCGTGTAGAGCGAGACCCCCACATACAGTCCATGCGTATGACGAGGTCACAGAGTGGTGACGGGAGAAAGGACGGCTTGTCTCGAGGAACGAAGCTGAGGCGGCGAGACCCTCTGCAAGAAGACCCCATCAGGTGTATCACAGAGAGGGCGGCCGTCATTCTGTGAGATTATGGGCCATCAGCCTAGACTTAAAGACTCAATGACGGAGCCGGTGGGAGACGGCATGCGCCGTTGTTTTTGCGAAATGAAGGCAGGCAAACATTTCTTAGAGAAGAAACAGACATAGAAACACGAGAAACTGAATTTCTTCAAAACCAGGCACCCTTCTCTTCGACAGATGCCGAGAGAAAAAAAACAACACAGCCCACCAGTCACACGATGCAAGCCCACAGAACGTGTCCGGATCACACACGGAAGTCGTGTGATCCACTAACGGGGGGAGAAAACCCTGATCCAACACATGGCGAGAGTGCATCGAGACTTTGAAAGACGCCATGCAGAGAAGACAAGGCATCTACCAGGGTCCCCGCGGATGGCCGCGGCGTGGAAGGGTAGACGAGGCATTCAGGGCAGTGGCTTCCGTGGTGGCTGGCGGCGTCACGGGGAGGCAGCGGGCAGCGGGCACGGCTGTGACATTGGAAGAAGGTCATCAAGGCCACAGGCTGGACAAGCAGAAGCTGTGGACCCGTGTCTGCTTCACCGGGTATTCGTACGTTCTCATGTTCTTAATCCCGAGTAACTAACTCCGTGCTTGCACGAAACCTGTAACTCTGCACCGTGCCAGACAAAGCAGTTCCTAAACAAATGCTACTGTCACATATGCATACACAGAGGGGCGGGGGCTGACAGGAATGCAGGAATGGCTGCAAATGACACCGTGCTTGTCGATGAGCAAGATTCAAACCACAATAAGGCAACAGCTGACGTCCCTGAGTCACCGTGTGACCAGGGTCCCTACAAGGCGATGCTGACCTCTGCCTCCTGCTGGGCTCCCTGGACTCAGGGCCCTGTCCAAGTCCCATGCACTCAGCAGCCTTCTCTCGGAGTTAGGGATGGTTCTAAGCCAAGAGCATTAAACCCACCCAGCTGACTCCATGGGCAGTGAAGCCTGGCCTGGCTTCCCAAACCCAGGCTGGGGACACCGCTCCCTGCCACCAAGTTCCAGAGAGCCCCCTGTCCAGGGTGGTCGTACCTCCTGAAAATGGAGAGAGCCACCTAGCATCTTGGAGCTAGGAAGTCCCCTGAGGTGACCTGTGGTTAGAGGGCTCTTGGGTAAGAGACTTGGGTGCCAAAAACGAAGGGCGCCGTGGTCCAGGGCAGTGGCAGCTGACCGTTACCACGTGGCCCAGGTCACGTGTCCTCCTCCCATGGGTGACTGAACAGGCCGCGAGTGGCTGGCGCAGGAAGCTACTCACTGGTCTTCAGGCGCATTCTGTCCCAGCAGCTTAATCCCGTGCAGACCGCACCTGCAGGCCGAGAGCTCGATGCTCCCCAGGGGGCTGCCCACAACCTTGAAGTTCAGCTCACAGGCCGTGTCCATGCCGCTCCGCAGGCTCTAAAGGGGTAGGAATGCATGTTAGGTCAGAGGACGGGTGGGAAGGCTGCCTCCCAGTGTGACAAACGGCAGACGCGAGGCCTCATCCAAGCCTCCTCTTGCCCTGTTTGGAATCTGCTCCTGGGTGATGTGTTGTTTCTACAGATGGACTGGTCACCACTCCCAGGACATGGGCGGAAGTGTGAGTCTCAGGCTTGCCAGTGGTTTAGAAACAGACACAGCCTCACCTCGTGGAAGGAACGAGGAACGTGGAAGAGCCCTGTGTCCCAGCAAGGGATCCCCTTGGCCCCCAACCCACCCACAGCTGCTGCATGGACGCCCAGGAGAACCAGGTGCCCTGAAAGTCCAGAGAACTGGGCTCCAAAGGCTTTCAGGGGCCGAGTGCTCGGAACTAGATCACCAGGCCTTTCTCCCTGCTGACCCCACCCCGGGGCTCCAATCACAAGACGCCCACACAGCATGCTCCTGTGCCACTGGAGCACACGGGAAGTCGGTGATCAAGAATGGTGGATCCCAGACCCACAGAGAGGGAGCCACGGCGCTTCCCTGGCTTGCTAGGGGCCCACTGGAACACCGCTGTCCCCACCGTCATGACGGCAGGCACCTGCAAGGAAGGTTCCAATGCTCTCCCACCCGTGTGGCTATCTCCGGGGTATTCCACAGCCCTCACCCCACCCACAGCACGTTCCCACAAGACGGGGTGACCCAGCACTGAGAACCTGCCAGCAGCCAGGTCACAGGGCCCCCACAGCGTGTCCTTAGCTGGGGTCACTGAGCACATGGGCCCTGCTAACCACCCCATCAGTGACAGTTTGCCATGAGTTGTAAGGGGCATGCTGGCAGCCTGGCATTCAGAAGGAAGTGTCACTCAAGGCTGCAATGTCTCGGGGAACTGCAGCTTCAATCTGTCAAGACGGAAAACTGCCTCAGTCGTCAGGCACTGGGAGAGGTTTTGCCTGCTCTGAGGACGGGCGCGGGCGGGTGCACAGCAAGATCCAAGAAAGCACACCGACTCTCTCAAGCAGGCAAAGCCACCTGGCTGGTTCCTGCACAGAGCAATCAGCACCCACTCCTGCTGGGAAACTTCTGGAAGAGAACAAGCGCTCTCTTTGGTGAGCAGCTCTGGGGGTGAGTCAGGGGGCCCTGGAACTTCTCGGGGTCTCTAATGCCACCATCACCCAGGAGGTGACCTCAGGGTCCCAGAGCACCCTGCTTGTCTGAGATCATGCCTCAGGGAGACGCAGCTCTAGGCGCAGAATAGACTAGAGAACTGGCATGAAGGTGCAGTTTTGGCACAAACACATTTCCATGGTGACACTGGACCCCGCTGTATGACGGCCATTCCACAGGACGAGGGCGGAGGACAACTGTGTGCTCTCTAGGCCCTTGGTCTACCCACGATGAGAGAGGAGACGACAGGTCGTCTTGGAAGAAGTACAGCCAGAATGCTCCTGGGCGAGACCTGGTCTCGTGCACTGGGGACACGTCATCAGGAGAGGCCAGTCCCTGGAGAAGGACATCGTGCTTGGTCAAGTAGAGGGGCCCTCGGCGAGATGGATGGACACAGGGGCGGCAGAAATGGGCCCGGCCCAACTGCGTGGGTGGTGCAGGTGTGTTGTCCTGAGGCACACAGGGTTGCTGTGGGTTGAAGTGACCCTACAGCCCCTAACCACAACAAGACTACTGTACCATCCCCTCTCCCCCAGCCACCGATGAAAACATCAGGAAGCCACACCCACTTCCCACTGATCAATGTGGCTGAGTTCCCAAGACCGGGCTACGCTCCAAGTGTCGGCACTGGGAGAAAGTGGAGCATGACCACATCATGTCACAAAACAGGCGATGCTAAGTAACTGCCCGCTGCTTAGTTCCCTAGCCTCCGGGTTTCGTCAGCGCTGAACTGCCCGAGGGCAACTGGCCAGGACCTTGGCCCAGCATCGCAGCTCTCACCTCAGCCTGGTGACTGCCAGGCACGTGCGTTCACTGCAGGGCTGTCTGGCTCTTTCCTGGGCCTGTGATAGGCGGGGCGTGTTGAATAAAGAGACAGGCGCCGAGTGAGCATTGGGCGTGTTTGATTCAGCAGATGCACGCCCCTCCCCATCCTTTAACATGGCCATCTCAGCAATGCTGTTTCTGTGGTCCTTAGATGATTCTATGCCAAACTGAATCCTTATGCAAGTGTAGGGATGGAGGCAAAGCTGTCAATCAGCTCACGGCCTGGTGATGCCTTCTTGGGGGTGTGGACTCCTCATACGAGGAAACTGGCATTCTCTCTCTCTCTCTCTCTCTCTCTCTGGTGGAGAGGGACTTGTGGCCTTGAGTTAGACCTGGCTGGATGTCTTCTTGACATAAGCTTTCTTATACACAAGAGAGTCCCTGGATTTGTTTCTCTAGACGACTGAGCCTAAAACAACGTCACCATACACATGTCTACCAGACTCGAATATGCAAAGCTGCTGAGACTGCCCGATCACCGCCCAGGTGGATAGGACACGCCAGGTCCCCAGGGAGCCAGCAGGGGAGCCCCGGGTCCCCAGAACACAAGGAGTTTGCTGCATGAGGCTCCCGGATGATTTATGGCCCGGAGTCTGAATACAAGAGCCCGATGTTCTGGACCCGCTCCGGCAGCTGTGAACAAGCGGCCTTGGTGGCACCGGCTCTGAGGGAAAGACTGGTCGGCCCTCAGCACAAGGTTGGCCAGCAGCCAGGTCCCATCCAGACGTGCCTGGCTGAAGTCCGGGCCCCGGTCCATCCTGGGGGCTAAACCAGCGACATCTCACCCCAAGCTATCCAGGGCTGATAATGGGGACAGATAATCCTCTCCCTTTTACTCCTCAAACAATAATTCAGCCAAACGCTGCATTGCAGCCAAGATTTCGAGACCTAAAGTGCATCCCCGTTTGATTAAATACTTGTAAATGCAAGAATAAAACACCAGTCTTCTGTCTTACAGTAAATTCTTCAGAAGCCATATATCCCAGTGATGAATGATCATGCCGGAGCGAGCAGAGCGAGGACAGGTCTCTCCCGCCAAGACGGCCCGTGGACCCTGAGCCATCGTGACAACAATGGAGATGTGATTTATTGTGCCCAGGGCGTACAGAAAAATGACAGTCCCGTGCAGGGACTCGGGTTCTGAAAGTGCCAGAGAAACAGGGAGCTGGCTGTGCCCAGGGTGGAGAGAGGGGTGTCCCAGGTCTGTGGGAGGGTGAGCTGACCCCGAGGCACAGGCAGAGCAGAGCAGCAGTTTACGATATGGTGCACACGCCCGGCTGGTGCATTTTGGTACGGCTCCTTCTCCTCTTTGGGCCTGCAGCGAGATACCTGCATGCTAAAGAAGTTGGCGCAGTGAAATCTGACGCGGAAGAGAACGGGCAGCCCAATAACAAAGAACAGTATTCGCCACCCATTGTTACCAGGAGGCTCAGTGGAGCTGAGTGGGTTAAGCACTGGGCTGTTGCGCAAAGATCAGCAGTTCAAACCCACCTGTACCTCCTTTGGGAGTAAGATGAGGCTGTTGGCTCCCAATGGGAAAACACCTTAGAATAAAAGGCAAATTCCTAGTTAGGCCAGACCCACAGGTCCCTTTCAAAAATGAGCAAAAACATAATACTTTGAGGCTCTCACCACAAACATTCAGCAGCTAGATTGGGTCAGGGTTCCTGCGGAATCGGTTCTTCAAACGTCTTCTGCAGATGGCAGCCGCAAGGCTGTGTGATCTGATTTCCAAGGTTCGTGGGAGGGGCACCACAAGTCCAGCAGCACTGAAGTGACCACATCTTGCATGGACAGGACCTACGCTACCAGGGGGTGGACCAGCCAGCTTCCCTATTAGGCTGGCCCTCAACCCATTTGTTCGGGTTCAAGGCCCTGTGGAAAGATTGTACTTCCTCCCTCCCAGGTAGACAGAGTCAGAACTGACACAGAGCCACATGCCCAGGAGACTCCTCTACATACCTGAGCACCAAGGGGCTCTGGGAAAGCCGCCATTCTGGTTGTCTATGGGGTGGAAGTTTGGTCTCCCAGGGGCTCGAAGCGGAACGCACCTGCTTGAGGCCCTCACTGCCTGTCTCATAAAGGATGCCACAGCTACCCACCTTTCCTGCACCCCGTGCCCGGGACCCAGAGCACCCCACCTGTCCAGGGGACGCAGAGGTGAGGCTGCCATCCTAGCACTACAGTCTCAGTCATCTGCACGTGCGCTTGCGGTGCACGGCCTTTGATAAAGTCAAGGCATTGGGCTCTCCGGAGCCCTGGTGGTGTTGTGGGTTAGGCTTTCGGCTGCTCGCCTCAGGGTTGGCAGTTCAAACCCACCAGCCACTCACTCTTCAGAAGAGATGAAGCCGTCTTCACCTATAAACATGACCGTCTCAGAAACCCATGGGAGCGGTTCTACTCTATCCTACAGGGTCTCTGTGTGCTGGTACAGGCTCGGTGACAGCAGGTTTTGTTTGTTCGGTGCCCCATGAATGGAGCCCTGGTGGCGCTGTGGTTAAGGCACTGGGCTGGGAATGCAAGGTGGGCGGTTCAAACCCACCAGCTGCTCTGAGGCAGGAAGATGAGGCTGTCTGCTCCTGTGAAGCTTTACA